TAATTCAAACCCAACAAAAGCTCTCTGTCTCTCTTGTTTGTTATCTCTTCCCGCCAGGTTTAACTGTTAACTGTTTAACTTGTTAACTGTCCCACCAGGTTTCAGTGATGCCAATCAGATCATAGTTCTTTTCACACTGTAGCTTCCAACTCATCTTGTTTATTCCCCCTACTGCTCACATTTGTATACGTGCATCGGATATATTTTGCATTTTGACCTCCTTGCTACCTTTTGTGCCACTTGTTGCGAGTCCTGTAGCTCTCTGGACCTTTCCCAGAGTTGAGTTCCTTCGAGTCCTTTCCCCTCTGCACTGCATGCTGTGTTGTTGGAAGGTTTTGATCACCATCCCCCATGAAACCTAGTTTAAAGCCCCCCTTATGATGACCAGAGATGCTGTTCCCTGTGCTTGTCAGCTGGATCGCAGCTTTTGATATCACTCCTCCTCCCAAGAACATCCGTCCATCGTCGAAAAAGCTGAAGTCTTCGCATCGTGTTGGACTCTCTTCAAATTGTCCACATCCTCCTTCAAGTGAGGGACCCAAAACTGGACACAGTACTCCTGGTGGGACCTCATTGGTGCTGATTAAAGCAGAAAAATCACGTCTCTTGATACTGTGGATGGGGGTTGCCTTATGTTTAAGTCCACCCAGAACTGCTAGAGATCAGGATGACTTTGCAGGGAGGGCTAGATTATTCCACATCTACAGCTCTTTGTTGTCTTTTTATTCAAAGCATGTGGTGCCAGTTGCCATGGGAGAGGGTCCTGGGCAAAGTGGACCTTGCCTCTAATTCAGGCTGGCAGTTCGTGTCTATAATTCCTGTTGGTGTCCCTCATCAAGTTAATCCTGACCAGGTGACCTCGTACACCCAGTCTCTGTGCAGAGGAAGACTGAGTTCTCTAATACATGTTTTAATACAGTGCTGCTCGACCTTTTGGCCCTATGGTCCAGATGAGTGGAGCAGGACTGTTTTGCAGACAAGATTGGACATGCAGGGGTGGGCAGTGTGGGATCCAGTCTAGTGTGTAGAGCCATGTTCTCCAGCCTGCAGGTCACCTTATGGGTCTGGAAACTTGGCAGCAGGGGAGCAGCAATTAACACTGCCACTGCTCTCCTCTCTGACAAATTTTTGGACCTCTGGGAAGTCCTGTGGGACAGATCTAGCCTGTGGGCTGGGGGTTGAGCACCCCTGTTCTAACACTAATTCATATTCAGACCACTTGGTATAACCTGGCTCTCAGGGAGTGGGAAGACATGCAGAGAGGCACTAAGTACTGGGATAGGAGGCTTGCATATAAAAAAGGCCACCTACAGAAGCCCTGTCGCAATCTGGCAACTCCTAACCATGCACTTCATCAAAGCATTTCCCCTGTGCTGAAGCCATAATAGCAGGTGCTGTTGATATTGAACTAGGAAGGCTCCTCTATCCCAAGGGGATTTTAAATAAACAGCTGATCATGAAAACCTGCACATCCCTGTTCCCTGCTGCCGGGTCTTGCAGCACACATCTTCAAATCCAATTTTCATGGTGCTCTCATTTGATAATGAGATTGACGAGACATTTAGTAGGAGTGTGATTCCTACTAATAATTGGCACTTAGCTAATAGCAGTAGTCAGTGGTTCAATCCTCCCCCAGCTAGTTTGCCTCTGTTAACGACATGATGAAGTGTAGCCACCCTCTTCCTACTGCTCTGCAGAGGGAGTTTTGAAATCAGAGTCTTATCTCACTTCAGAAATATGTGAGGCTGTATTCCTTGCTTAATTGGACTGTATGGACTCCTGTGCAGTTATCCTGAGGCAGATTCACTCCTTGGCTATGTTATCCTTAACACCTGTCTTGAATCCTGCTCTTTTCCTTGTGATCTGGGAGCTCAGTGCCACCTCACTACCAGGAGCTATATAGAGAGAGGTAACTTTCAACTGTTTTAAAAGCCTTTGCACATCAGCTTACATGGAATTGTAGAAAAATAAGGCTGGGAAGGCCCACAAGTCTCATCTGTTCCAGCCCACTGCTCAAGGCAAGATTGATCATTCCTGGGTAAACCATCCCAGCTGAGTGTGTGTCTAGTGCACTTTGCAACTTCCAAGGGTGGAGGTCCCATTACTTTCTGGGTACTCTGTTCCAGTGTTGAACTCATTTATAGTGAGAGAGTTCTTCCTGATCTTCAACCTAAATTTCCCTTGCTGCAGTTTTAAAACCATTACTCCTTGTCCTGTCCCCTGTGGCCACAGGGGACAGTCAGTCACCATCCTCTTTGCAATTATGCTTCAGATATTTGAAGACTGTTTTCAGATCCCCCCACCACCCCACACATCTTCCCCAAACTAAATCTCAGTTCTTCCAACTGTCCTTCATTAAGTCATGTTTCCCAGACTTCTAATCATTTTGTTGCTGTCCACTGGTTTCTTGCATGTAACTGTTTTCATCTTCATACTTCTTTAGTGATACAAGGAAGCAAAATCATCATAAGTAAACATTGATTCTGAATGTGACAGGATTTAGAGTGATTTTTTGTTGTTGTTGTTGTTATACTTGTCCTGCTGTTGAAGCTTGTAGATGGAAGCTGCTACAATGCAACTATTACACTGTCTTATTTGATAAGATATAATAAGTCTGTCTAAACCCTAAGTGTCTGAGAACTCTGAACTCTTGGTAGCTGTGTGCCCTTGGCAACAGGGAGATAAACAAGCTGAGCAGTTCTCTTCAGTTGTATTATTAAAAATACAGAAACTCCTGACTGCTTCACCCTGGCTTAGATCTGCAGAGAACACTCTTTGTTTCCATTACAGGTTCTGTTCAAACTGCGCCCTAATCTGTTAGGAGGCTTGAATTCTTTTCTGGTGTTCTCCGTGCTTGGTCAGTTTCAGGCTGTGTCTGTTTCCTGATGATCAGTTTTACTCCAGAATTTAAAGCTGCTATCAGTGGTCCTTAGGAGCATGTTCTTGATCCAGTAATTGAAGGCACTTCAGGACTCTTCCCCCAGCTCTGGAAGTGGCTGCATTTGATCAGTTTGGGGTCAGTGGTTCTCAATCTTTTCAGGGTCAGGGCACCCTACCACCACCCTTCTTTGAATGTGTTGGCACCTGTGGCTGAGAACTGGTGTTGGTAGTTGCCTCAGCTTACCCAAGTGCTGCTTAGCTAGGTTCTGCTGCTCAGAAGGGCTGTGAAACTGTGATGAAACTGCCTCATATGGCTGTGCCACATGTGCACTCCTCCTGCATAAGAGCTGTCTGATCCACCTAAAGCAGGCAGGCGCTGCCTCATGCTGTGCTGCTCTTTCTGCTACAGAGCCCGCAACACTCCTCCTGGAAACAGAAATGGACAGGACAGTTCCCATGCTTATTTCTGAGAGGAGCATAGTGGGGGAAAGATGCAGAGAAAGAGCAGCGAGGGAGGAGGCAGCTTTGCTACCTGCTTGAGGCTGAGTAGAGAGACGTAATGCAGGGGGAGTGCACAGGGCAGTTTTACCTGGCTGCTGCAGGTAGTTGAGAACCACTGGTTTAGTGTCATTTGCTTTGCCTCTGTGGCTTATTTCCCCTAATCAGAGGCTGAGCTCCTTCTAGTTTACACTCAGATAAAATAAGAAAAGCTGGTTACAGCTGCTGTTGCTGAAGCTTCCGTGAGAGCTGTGCTGAAACTTTTTTTTTTCCAAGAGTCCCCTCAAGATCATTATTTAGGTGGGCAGAGGATGGCCTGTGAAGCCAGAAGCAGGGGATTTGTAATGATCTCCTATCCCTGTGTTTAAAGACCCTATCTGACAAGGACTGCAGCTAAGGAGAGATCTGCTTTGCCTTCATCAAGGTCTGAGATCACCTGTACTGCTGAAGAAGGAAGTAAATGGGTGAAAACACCTATCAGTTGTGTATCAGAGGGGTGGAACCCTGATCTCCAATAGTAACATGTTTACTTCTAGTGCAGTGCTGTTTGCTCTAGGCCAGCATTTCTCAACCTGTGGGTCGTGACCCAAAAGTGACAAGAATATATGAAAGGGTCATGGTCGCGAACTTGAAATTAAAAAAAATGGATCAACAAACTTTATAAATGGATTCTCCTTTAAAGGAGAAAAATATGGGAAAACGTGGCTTCTCCCTTGCAAGCTGACAGAGTTCCAGCCTGCAAGGGTCTACTTGCCGCCCCCCCCCCACACACACACACACTCTGCTGCCTCACACACTGGGGGCTTAGGGGTGGGGGCAGCAGATCAGGAGTGAGGAGCACTGGGTCAGAGTAGCCACTGATGTTTACAAATGGGGCCTGGTACAAAAAAAGGTTGAGAATGCTTTGTGAGCCTAGAGCAGGCATTCTACAAGAACTGATTGAGCTTCACAGCACTCTGGTGAAGCAGGGACTATAATCAGCAGCTGGGTGAATAGAATGGGAGTAAATGTCCCTAGTGGTCTACACTCCACATGTATTCTATATTGTTAATATTTTTAAAATCCCCCCCCCCCCCAATACACTTAAAGTATAATTCCCAAATGCACGTGGACACAGAAATAAGTCCAAGGCTCTGGGACATAAGGGGTTTAGGAGCATTTGCACAATTGTGGCTCAGCTACATATCCTGGGTTCAGTGCAGGAATTATTAGGTGGGGTTTTGACCTGGGTTGGGTTTTGACCTGTCAAATGCTAAAGGCCAGGAGAAACTTTTCAGCTCTATACAGCTGCAGGGTTTTGAGTAATCCCTCCTGATAAAGGAAGAGGACTGAGGGGTGGGTTATGCCCTTCTTCCTTGGATGAGCTCTGGTTGGGGTCAATGGAGCTGCATGTCTCTATAAATGAGAACAGAAGGTGATCTTGACTCTTAAGCATTATTTGCAGACAAATGGTGCATTAGCCTCCTAATGAAAGAGTTCTTAAAAAGCCCTCTTCCAAGTTTTCCCTTTCTGTGCACTGCTGAATGTTTCCTATCTCCCTGTGTTTATCTCTGACTGTAAACCCTTTCAAGCAAGAGACCTGTCTCATGCAGAACATCTAATTGTCTGTGTCTGTCTCTTAGGTTTCACTAAATGCCTGGGTCTGGTCTACAATCTTCCATACAAAGGACACTGATGTAACTGAGGTAAGTGGGATCCCACCGTAAAATCACTGCATGTCCAGGCAGCAGTGGGTCTAGCAGTGAGGTCTCCTTCTCCTCTCTTGAAATCAATAAGCCAAGGAAAGATCTGCTTTGCCTTCATCATGTTCTGAGAGATCCTGTGCTGCTGACCTAACAAGGGACTGGAAAAAGGGAGTATAAGGATACTGTCTGACCTGGAAAATGTGTTTCTAACAAGGCTGAGAATCCACCTGGGCATTAGTGCCTCCTGCTTGTGTAATGTTCTTACAGGAACAAGAGAGAAACCTAGAACATGGTGAGTGCAAAGCAGGTCACACTTGCCATGTACCTGTTTGGTTCTTGCTTTCTACTTAGTCCGTGAGCTCTTTGGGGCAGAACTGTTTGCTCTGTTCTTGCACAGCTGGCATGTGCAGCTGTGATCCAGGACTAGCAACTAAATGCTACTGAACAAATAATACAACCTCACAAATTTGGCAGGGGGTTTGGGGCCTGTGTGAGACCCTAAAAATTGACTCCATGCTGCATTCACTCAGGTCATTCTCCCTGCTCTGACTGTCCTGTCAGCCAGGGCCCACTTCCTCCAAGGCAGGAGTGTGTGTGTTCAAGTTCAAGCATCTGAATGGTCCTGTTGTCTTCAGCTTATCATGTGCTTTGCTGCATTAAGAAGCCAGACTACCAATTTTTATCTAGACACTCAGGGGCCTGATAGCAGTGAAAATCCATGCTGCGATTGCCAGTAAATGCACTCTCAGTTGCATGGCGCATTTATAGTCATTGCGGGCCAAATGGAGGGGGTTCTTGAATCGAGACAGAACTCCCAGTGGATCCTGAGTAAGGGTTAAGACAAAGCTCTTGGAAATCAGGCTACTGTTTCTTAGCCTCCCAAACCCCTGGGCTTAAAGAAATTGATATTCTCTTTCTGCAACTCAGCCCTTAGAGTGTACCAGTCTCCCTGCCTTGCCCTTGGTCTGTGCTGTCTCTGCCTCAGTTTCATTGCCTCCCTTCTCCCAACTATCTAATCAGGCCTTTTGTTCCCCCCCATCTTCCTCCCCCTCACAGAAAATGGACTACTTCTGCGCTTCAGCTGTCATCCTGCACTCCATCTACCTGTGCTGTGTCAGGTGAGTCTCAGATGTTGGGCGTGCTTTGTCCTTCACAGGTGCAGTTTGGTCTGGAGCCCTTCCACGATAAGCTTATGTAGCCTAGTGACCTTTGTTACTCTTCTGTCTTCCTTGAGATTGTGTCTCCTGCTTTATTGACCCAAGGAGCAAGATATAACTTCTTGCGCTGCAGGAGAGGGAGGGACTCTGTTCAACCTCATTAGCCACGCCAGTTAATATTCAGGAGGTGAAAGCAAAACTAGGAGTGAACTACCATGTGTTGCCTCTAGGATTAGCCCCAGTGGCTCCAGGAGCAGAAGTAGCACATCTCTGAGTATCAATTAGGTGTAAGCTCTGTTGAACGATGGCTGCTCATGGTCTCAAAGCTTGGAGCTTCTGGCTGCTGTAGTGGCAGTCACAGGCCAAAGTCCCTAGTTGCTGTATAGCTTATGAAGCAAGCGTTGGCATTGATCCCAGTGCTGATAAACCTTTGTGTAACCAGGGCAGGAAAGCAAAGTAGGAGATGCCCAAAGAGGCAGAAGGGCCTTTGAGCTCAGGGACTCAGTCCCCTGGTGTATGATGTATGGGAGCATTTCACTGTCATCTGTATGATCCTGCCTGCATCTTTTGGGGTGACAAGTACAAGAGAAGGTTGCAGGAGTCAGGACCATGTTGTTAGTGGATCACCAGGGGTTGTGTGACCCTGCTGGTGCTCAAGAGCTTCTCTGCATCTTCTCGGTTTCCACTGTAGGACTCTGGGGCTGAAGCGTCCAGCTTTTGCAAATGCCTTTGGGGGTTTCCTTATCCTGTTCCTGGCCTGTCACGTCGCATACCTGACGCTTGTGCGCTTTGACTACGGCTACAACATGGCTGTGAATGTGGTGATAGGTAAGGCCCAGCAGAGAATAGACAGTGGCTGTATCCACAGTCCTCTTCCTTCTGGGGAGGTCTCATTTCTCTGTCAAGGGACCTCAGGGTTAATGTGAATGTGCCTGGGCTTCAAACCTGGCTGCAGTTGGATGCTAGCCCTACAAACAGGACTTGGGTCTATTTTAGGTCTCCATGCGCATGTCTGTGGAAGATCCAGGATCTATAATGGACTGGGAGAGGGGTTGGTAACCTATAGCCTGTGGGCCAAATTGGCATGTAGAGTGATGGGATCCAGCCCTCAGTGGCAAGGGGGATCAGTGGCGCAAGTCTCAACTCATTTTATGCCTCATCTCTTCCACCCACACCATGTCACTGATTACTTCCACAGCACCCCACTCTGCTCTCTTCCTGCCCTCCCCCTGCCCAGCAGGTGTTGCTTAGCATCTCTGCCTCCTCACTGCTGCTGGGGACAGATGCTAGAGGCAGTGGCACAGGGTGGAGGTGGCAGGAAGTAGCTTATGTGCTATGGAGGGAAGTGGTGGCCCAGAGCAGCAGCTAGGTTCCAAGTAGCTGGCTCACCTCTCTAAAAGGGTGCCAGCCCCTGTGCTAGAAGAAAGAGGAGCCAAAATTGAAGGGATAGAATACATTTACCACTGTCCTCTCTAGCAGAAGGGGTGTCATGTTACGGCTGACTCTCAGCCCAGCACTGACACTGTGCTATGCCAACTGCCCCCTGCACGGAGATAATAGAAAACTGCACCTTCTGCATCCCGTGGTGCTTCTCCATGCCACTGCTGTTCAGCCAATTAGTAGCAGCCTAAACACTTAATAGCACAGCTGAGCTCTCAGCAGTTGCAGCAGCGGGGCTGGGAGTCAGGACACCCAAGTACTGTTCCTATCTCTGCCACTGACTTTACTGGCAGTGGTTGAGTCATTTGCTGTCCCTCTCACCTTTACTGTGAGTCTCATGATCTCTGGTGTTTACTCCATGCCCAGACTCCAGGACTTCTGTCTGTTTTGGGGAATCTCAGTTTTCCTTAAAAAACCCTCAAAATGTAGTTTGTAGCCCATATGGCCTCAGAAAGATACCTGAAGAAACTCGCCACCAACAGTTCAAGAAACAGCATCACCAAAGGTTCAAGAAAAGGCAGATAATCCCAGAATGAGATGTAATTGGCCTTGAGGGACTGAAGATTGGCAGGGTCCATGGGCAGTTTGGCCACATCACTTTCACCTTGCCTTTTCCCCTCTTCTTTGCTACCTTGGGAGGAGATTTGAGAAGGGAAAGCAGTGGAAGGAGCCCCAAGGTCACCTCTGGAACAGAGGAGGAGTCCTGGAGTCTTCTTTCTTGGGCCAACCTAAATCCAGTTGGACCAGATTGCAGTGGAAGAGATAAGGAAAGGGACATGGCAATGGAAAGGCACATTGGGAGGGAATCTTTATGGAATGATGTCCTGGACCTCTGAAGGACTGATGTAGTGACTGTGCTTTAGGAAGGACAGGGAACGGGAGTATCTGGTAGCATGGCTATGGCACTTCTCAGGGAAGCTTGTACTGGGTTGTGAGCTATGCTGTTGAGGAGAAACCAAGATAATCTCCAGGGCCTGCAGAGATTTGAACCTTGTCTGGGCCTTTGATCCTTAGCCTGGCAAAAGGGAGTTCAGTGGTTATGAAAAGGGATAGGCGAGATCAGGTCTTCATGTTAGCATGGGCCCACTGGGGCAAGCATTGGCCAGTTCTGAGAGCCCTGACCTACATGGCAAGAATGACACAAGCCCCTGACTGCCTGGAGAGGCTTAAGGCAGCAAAGTAATGGTGAGACTGAAGTCCAGGGGTTGACGGGTCTTCTCCCCTTCTTCCCTCTGATCAGTAGACACCCACCCATCCCAGAAGCCTAGTCCTACTTCATGCCACCAAGCAAGATCCCCTGCACTTTAACCCTCTTGTCTTCCAGGCCTCCTCAACCTTTTCTGGTGGCTGGCCTGGTGTGTCAGGAACCAGCAGCGCCTCCCTTACGTCTGGAAGTGCATGGTGGTGGTGCTGCTTCTCCAGGTTCTGGCGCTGCTCGAGCTCCTGGATTTCCCTCCCCTGTTCTGGATCTTTGATGCACATGCCATCTGGCACATCAGCACCATTCCTGTCAACATCCTTTTCTACAGGTCAGCCTGGTGCATGCAAACACTGTTCTCTTACCTTGGGAGGTTATTTGGGTGAAAAAACCATGTGGTGATGTAACAGGCAGCGCCCTATTTAAGAGTAAGCTCTGGAGAAGCTCCAGTGAGGAGATCTGAAACTCAACCCCTCTTGTTATGTAGCCAAACTGTGCCCTGATCACATCAGATCAGGCTTGGGTCACCACTTACATGGAAAACCAAGCCCTTAGGAAGTGGTCTTGGAAGGACACCCCCCCCCCCCCCCCCCCC